CCACTCTCAAAATGATACGTGGCACACGTTTCTGTATTATATAGCTAACTCGACAAAATTTACTTCTAAATAACACAATAGTGATTTCCTCATACCAAAACAATGTAGCTAATAGTAATATACGATTAATAATTTATAATGGATGGCGTTAGTTTTTTATGTACTATTCATGCACTTTTATAGCTGGCCATATCATCCTTAAAGATCACAGAATGATTCCTTAGCATTATGACCACGCTTTTTTACAATAAAATCATTTTTTCTTACACTATTTTTAATTCAAATTTATTAAAATTTATTTTCTATTTTTTAGTTGGATTTTCTATAAAAACGTATTTTGTTAGTTTTTTTAAACTATTATTTATTTTTCACTGTAATGTAACATAATCAAATACCAACCGATCAGGTGACGACCGCAGTCAATGAGTCTTCGCTACCTTTCTTTAGATTGCACGCAACTGCAAAATGCTGAAATGCTGTGATGACAATAGTTTTTGCTTGCATTGAATTAATAATCCAACTGTTTCGGCTTTTGGCTGCCTCACGCTATTGAATAGTACTAATAAATTATTATTTCAAGATACATTTTCCTCCAATGCTCCCATCGTATATAACACAAGTTAGACACAGAGAAGATTCTCATAATATTTGGGCGTTATTCTATAAATTTTATTCGCCACACTAAAACCATTACCTAAGTCCTAAGCATACCTCTGCAGAATCCTGGTGTTTATAATGACTGTGGGCCTTCCTGTATAGGACAGTTTTTTTGACATATTTCGGTTAGAGTGAAAAAGCACATCGCAGATGTCAAGAATAACTGGGTACAGAAGTAAAAATAAATAATAGTTTAAAAAACTAATAAAATACGCTTTTATAGAAAATCCAACTAATAAATATTTTTTTTTTTTAATAAATTTGAATTAAAAATAGTGTAAGAAAAAATGATTTTATTGTAAAAAAAGCGTGGGGTCCCAACTATAATATAGAACATTGTTAACGCTTACCTTAAAGCTGGGGTTCTCTTATAGTCAAGATGAAAACCGGCCACCTACTAGATGGACCGACGACCTAGTAAAAAGTGCTGGGTCTCGTTGGATGCAGGTGGCAATGGACCGGTCGCACTGGAAATCTATTGGAGAGGCCTATGTTCAGCAGTGGACGGCGATAGGCTGAAATGATGAAGATGAAAACTCATGTCAAATGAAGAGACTTAAAAATAGTGTTTTCCGTGCAACGAAATATAAATCATCAATTTTTTTTTGTTTTTTATGGCTTATATGGTTGGACGAACTCACAGCCCATCTGGAGTTAAGTGGCTACTCTAGAGCCCATAGACATCTACAACGCAAATGCGTCACCCACCCTGAGATATAAGTTCTAAGGTCTCAAGTATAGTTACGACGGCTGTCCCGCCCTTCAAAACGAAACGCATTACTGCTTCACGGCAGAAATAGGCAGGGTGGTGGTACCCACCCGCACGGACTTGCAAGGGGTCCTACCACCAGTAAGTTTATAGAAGATGATACCTTAGTACACGTCCGAGCACCCGTTGCCTAACGGGTAAAGATCATTTCTGTAATACGCAAATGAGGTAACGGCTCATCTGTTATAGAGTTTATCCGGAGCCTACAGACAACGCAAAATCCGCAAGCCACTTTAGTATGTGATGTCGAAATAGGAATGTGTTTATTGAAGTTATACTTCTTTAGGCGCGTTATGAAAAATTGATGAGAGTGAAATTTTACGATGCGCGCGCACCGTGACATAAAATTAACAGAATAAAATTGCCCACTAAAACGCTCATTACAATACGACCGACGTAACTTGGCGAGTCTGAATATAGCCGAAGGTGAACTTTCGCGCATGTACACTCGTAAAAAAATGTGTTATTAGAATTCATTTTTTAGTAATATAAATGACAAAATTATTATTTAAAATAATTCATACTAAATATTATTAAATTATTAACGGTAAATATTTATTATTAATTATTTAATATAAAAAAAAGAAATAATTTTATTAAAAATAAAGTATAACTTCTTACGCGCGTACATATTATGTACACGCACCCTTTTTTACGATTGTCCCAGTATTCAAAGTGTAATAGTTGATCACTTCGTTAATGAAATCGACAGATCCCTCCTAGCTGAGCCCTTACTCGCCTACCTGTCCTTGTAAACCTGGAAAGGCCTCTGGGCCAGGAGTAAATACCTCATTCATAAAAAAAATCGACAGGACGATAATGCCCGTAAATATACGATTGACATAAGCACAATGCTGTCATGTTTGTTAGAGCTGTAATTGCTAAGGTACCCAGAACTATGTAGGCATGCACTACGTTAACATTAGTAGAATTGGACTGAGGCTGGCCAAGTGCTCAAATACAATATTGATTAGTGAGACCAATTAATTATATTACTGTACGGAATCAACACAATACACTCATAAATTTTTTCATTTTCTTTAAATTTTTTTTATTTGATATAATAAATAAATATTTACTAACAATCACGCCACATTAACTGGTCCCGTACTAAGTTCGTAAAGAACTTGTATTACAGGTACCAGACAACGGAAATAAATGTAAGATTTTTATTATACACATACATATATTTAATAAACATCCATAATCCTGGAAAACACATTTATCATACAAATATCTTCCCTTGGCGGGATTCGAACCCGCGACCCCCTTGTGTAGTGACCGTGTCACTTACCAGTACACCAGACGACCGTCTAATCTAATCTTCCTGAAGAATCCTGAAGACATATCATACCATCAGTGATATAATATGTGACAATCGTGACTATGCGATCACTTATCATACTTGATATAGCTAGATCACGAATGCTTGAAATTTTATGATTTTGACAACCATTTATTTTCATGTTTTCGTTTGTTTCACTGTTTCATTTAAATGCTGGAAAAGTGCTGAGTCTTGCAGAGCTGGATAACAAAGGTTGATTTACTCGAGTGTTGTGACCAGGGCTTAAGCGGATTTTGGATGTGGATTTCGATATTTTCTAAGCAAATCTCTACGCAGCTAAGACATGTTCACGAACGCGTACGTATATAGTAGAACGGCTGTTCAACAAGACATGTTCCCTTGTCTTGACATCTTTTATCAATCAAGCTGAAGAATCGACACTTAAACCTAAGTTCTCTCGAAGCATCTCGAAGATCTAATAGATAATCAGTAATGACGTTTTTTTTGTTGTGTCGAGGTCGAGGAATTATCGCAGTATAAGCCTATTTGAAATTATCATTATTTCCTTATTTATTTTCAACGTCACACAATTTATGTCATAATGCTTATATTAATACGTGTATTACTATGTAACGGTCCATGTGGCAACCGGTCTTTGACCGCTGATATTGCTATCAATACACAGATACCTAACTATCAACAACGTTTGATAGAAGATTTTCGCAAACCTCGCGTTACTAATGCTAACGAATATAACATTTTTGAGCTCACTAGTCACTTATTAATGTAACATAAACATCCTCAATATAAGCTGTTCGTTCCAAATTCGATATTTTAATTGTATTTAAAAAGAGTAGTCAATTTAAATGAATAAAAATATGACCAATTATGTTTTTTTCAAATCTCATATTGTCTATGACGTAAATATTTCACGTTCATTCCATAATCTATGGTAATTAATAGGAAGAATCCTGTTTTCGGTTTAGCCCTATTCGAAAGTGCGTTGTTATATACGCTTATCTTCTGCAATCTAAAATTGCCATATTTTTTAATAAACTTTATATCCATACGGTGTATGGATGAACTTAATGACCAAGACATTATGAATAGTCAGCCAAGAGTGGTACATAGAGAATGTTGTCCTAGGTGCATTTCCACATGAGATTGAACAAAAATTATAGTTTTGTATTTCTAGTATAAATAATACAAAATCAATGTTGTATGGATACGTGTTGCTGTTAAGATATAGTTAAAATAATAATTATAACAGACTGCATTGTACAAAAATCATTTTGATTTGCGAAATTATACAACTTGTCATTTATTCTTAGTCTGGTATAATGGGGAATTCCGATGACATGAATCGTTTAAGATAAGAGGTTACAAATGTTGAACTTTCAGTGTTCGCAATTAAGTGACACACCCAACTCATAAAATTACGTATTTACGACAAATGCTACGATTTTTTAAGGACTTCCCTGATGTGAAATGAGTGCAGCATCGCTCTAAATCTTCGTGATTCTTATAACATTCGATTCGAAATAAAATTCGGATTACAAATATATCTTTTAATTTAAAAATAGTATCCATATTATAAATTTCGTAATAAACACACACGTTATAACATAACACTCGTTCTTAATAAAATAATAAGAAATAATAATTGTATCTTCGCATTAACGCTTTCACGCTAAAATGTAATTTCTAGAATTTGTATGGTCAGAGTAAGGTACAGAAAACAAAGTTTAGATACATAGTATCGCCATCAGGTTTAAGTGTCAATTCTATTGTGTCAAAATGGAACGCAAAACTGCTTTGGGGCAAAAATAGATCGGATGGTTGCGCAAAAGCGCTGTATGTATGCCAAATAGCTGGAAGTTTTATAATTAAAAAAAAAGTTTTTTTTTTAATTGTTTTTATTGCTTAAATGGGTGGACGAGCTCACAGCCTACTTGATGTTAAGTGGTTACTGGAGCCCAAAGACATTTACAACGTAAATGCGCCACTCACCTTGAGATATAAGTTCTAAGGTCTAAGAATACTTAAAACGGCTGCCCCACCCTTAAAACCGAAACGCATTACTGCTTCACGGCAGAAATAGGCAGGGTGGTGGTATCTACCCTTGCGGACTCACAAGAGATCCTACCAGTAAACTTACTGATACAAATTCTAAAATTAAACACAGGACAACTGAATTATGAATCTATACATATACATTTAATACCAATTTTCTATTTCAGGTCGTACTAAATAATGTTCAATAATTTATAAAAAGAAAACCAAACCGTTATGGATCAGAATTCAAAAATGTCGACTGAAAAAATTGCTTTAGTACCAATGCAGAGGACTAAAAAGGTCGTGAAGCTAATACCACCGGATGGAGGTTGGGGATGGATGGTTTTAATCGGAACAGCAATGTCTAATGTAAGTTGCAATTTTTAATACTTTTTTTTTGGGGTCAGACGAGTTTATGACCTTTTTTTTAATACTTAGATGGGTGGACGAGCTCACAGCTCACGGGTGGTAGTGGTTACTGGAGCCCATAGACATCTACGACGTAAATGCGCCATCCATCTTGAGATATAAGTTCTAAGGTCTCAAAGGTCCCAAGTATAGTTACAACGGCTGCCCCATCCTTCAAACCGAAACGCATTACTGCTTCATGGCAGAAATAGGCAGGGCGGTGGTACCTACCCGCGCGGACTCACAAGAGGTCCTACCACCAGTAATAACCTTGTCGCTTGCTAAATGCCGCCACTCACCATGAGACATGGAGTCGAAATCTTATATTTGTTGCATGAGGCTTGTCCTACCGACCTATGTAAGGAATCATTACTTGGCGTTAGAAGTCAGCAGGATGTCGAGGGACAGTACACATCAGTGCGGATTCACTGAGCGCTTTACTACTAATAAACGCCAGTTGGCGATCGCAGTATGCATATCTACGCTTGAAAGGCAAACGTGACTAAGCGACAATTCGTGAACTTTACAGTAGACTAATTTGAAGTTGAAATACCTGAAAACAAAATTTATTTTAACGAATCTAGCTGTAGTAGAATCTAGCTAGTAGCTGTAGGATTGAAATGATTTTAATAGACCTAGAAATATATATTTTTTGCACTTCGAATATGGTTATTGCCTATCATTTATGTACAAAGCAGTTATTGTCGCTTAGTCACGTTTGCCTTTCAAGCGTCGATATGGAGAACGCCGTTGTCCGTTCTCCGGTTAACCCTAATCTTTTAAAACATCCGACAAGAAGAAATTGAATGGTCAAAGTCAAAACCATTAAACTACTTATTATTCGAAACAATTTTCAAGTAAAAACATGCGCAAAAAAAAATGGTTATCTAGATTGTTTACAATGTACCGATCAATTGACCTAATTTTACAGTAACGCATTGTTCATGAGTCACATTATGAAGTGCTCAATAAATATAAGCATTATATGAACGTATAATCACCGCTTACTTTGTGATGTTTTCCTAAAAGATATTCTACGCGTCTTCATATTTAAAAAAAATTGAAATTAGAAGTTGAAATTCAAAAAGTTTAACTATTTTAGATGAAAATACTGCTAGCTTATATTTTCCCAGGAGTAGAGTAGCAAATGAGCCCGCACGGGTAATTACCACCGCCCTGCTTATATCTGCCGTGGAGTAATGCGGTTCAGCTTAAAACAGTCGTACTAATAAATTGAGACTTAGAACTCATGTCTCGAGGTGGTTAGCGGTATTTACGCTGTTGATGACTATAGGCTCCGGTAACTACTTACTACTTACTTAGGTGAGCCCAGACTTTTTGGGGATTGTTCGTGATTTATTAAAGTCACGCTCAATCATACGTTACAACCTCTAAACTTAGTGTAGTGTACTGCAACGAACATCTGACGAGTTGTCTGAAGTTTTTTGCCAAAATCAAATCAAATCAAATCAAAAAAATTTTATTCAACATAAATGAAAGTACATACTTGTTGAACGTCAAAAGAACTACCGCCAATTCACAAGAACTAGCCTCCGTCCTGAGAAGAATTGGCAAGAAACTCAGCGGGCATGTCTTTTTTTTTTTTTTTTTTAAATATGAAATTATTATTTATTTATTTTTTAATATTAGATTATTATTATTTTAAATATGATTTTTTTACAATGAGTATTATAACGTAACATCATAATCGTAGCGTAACGTAATTATCACTCATTCATTTTAAATAATCAAAAATGTGTTAGCCCGAGTTAGATTAAAATTGTTGGTTGAAACAATGAACCAAAAAAATATTGCGAACAACACATCCACGTTTCCAAAGCGTGAACCTCACAAAGCGATGCTAGACGTCCGTATAGATCAAGTGATAATAGCTAAATTCGCATATTAAAATATACATAATTAATAAATGTTTTTACGATGCCACTTATTGTACACGACAGTCTATAGTGATTTCATATTAATGAAACCCAAGATTATCAGTTTTGATAAGTGATTTGAGTGTATGTACTTCTGAAGCAGACTTTTATTATCGATATGAAATCAAAACACATGTGTGTTGAAAATATTTTCACAATATTTAGTCATTTATAATCACGTTACGAAATGAAAAAATATCATTTTAATACGCTTTTATTAGCTTCAGACGTATGTATGTAACGGAATCTTTGAACATGATTTTGACCCCCTTAAAAACGTCAGATTAACTCGAAATTTGGTATACTTATTAAGGAACGATGCCAAGTCAATATTAAAAAAAAAAAAAAATTTAAATTCAACTAAAAAATGGAAAATAAATAATAGTTTCAAAAAACTAACAAAATACGCTTTTATAGAAAATCCAAATAAAAAATAGAAAATAAATTTTAGTAAATTTGAATTAAAAATAGTGTAAGAAAAAATGATTTTACTGTAAAAAAAAGCGAGGGGTGCATGGTATCAGTAGTTATAAATATTTTACGAACAGATATGACGAGTAGAAGGGTTATTTTGATAATATCCTGAAAAGCACCCCACGCTTTCTTACAATAAAATCATTTTTTCTTACACTATTTTTAATTCAAATTTATTAAAATTTATTTTCTATAATTAGTTGGATTTTCTATAAAAGCTTATTTTGTTACTTTTATAAGCTATTATTTATTTTTATGACGTATATGATTCAACGTGTCAGAAATATATAATGAATAATTTAATGCGTTTACGTTAATTCAGCGGCAATGCATTTCTGTTGCCTTGCATGCTGCGGCTAACGCATTTAAAATATTTTAAATCTACACCGGTAGGCAGCGGCTTGGCTCTGCCCCTGGCATTGCTGAAGTCTATGGGCGACGGTAACCACTCACCATCAGGTGGGCCGTATGCTCGTCTGCCTACAAGTGCAATAAAAATAAAAAACATATTTATTTTTTCGAAACCCATATTAAAAGATGCAACTAATTCAAGGGATTGCATCTATACTAATATATAAATCTACAGTAGTTTTATATGGATATTCCGTTATAACTACTGAACCATGCATCCGATTGACTTGAAACTTGGTATCCATATAGAAAATACATGTACTTAATGGATAGGCTAATATTTATTATTTGAGTGTTGGACTCCCTAATAATAATGACAATAAATAATAATGTTAATTTTAAATGCCCAGCGAAGCGGGCGAGTACGGCTAGTCCTTCAATAAACTTGTAAATTTGTAGATTGATCTATCAAAGGTCTACGGGTTTACTAAGGGTTTACGTTAAGCGGCCTATTAAGTGACCACAATTACTTAAACCTTAATACTTTTAAAGTCGTCGTGGCCTAAAGAATAAGACATCCGGTGCATTCGTATCTTTCCATACAACGGTGTTCGAATCCCGCAGGCAAGTAGGTACCAATTTTTCTAATGAAAAACATACTAAGCAAATGTTCACGATTTTCTTCGTAAAGGAATAGCATCGTGTAATCAAAATCGAACTCGCAAATTTTCGTAATGACTGGTAGTAGGACTTCTCGTGAGTCCGCACGGGGGGTACCACCGCCTTGCCTCTGCCGTGAAGCAATAATGCGTTTCGGTTTGAAGGAGGGGCAGCCATTGTACTGTAAAAACTGAGAACTAAGAACTCATATCTCAAGGTAGGTGGCGGCATTTACGTTGTAGACGTCTATGGGTTCCGGTAACCACTTAACATCAGGTGGGCCGTGGGCTCGTCCACCCAAATAAGCAATAAAAAAATAAATTTCCTGTCATTCTGGTGATCGGGAACGGTATCCTAAAACTGTGAAGCAGATTGGAATCCTCAAGAATAATAATTAGAGTATCAATTTTTATATACATTTTAGTTAATATTATAGTATATCATGTCTGTGACCTGATATATTGAACAATTGAAGGAATTGAGTCTTAAATACTAGTAGTTTCAGTAAGAATTAGAAATTGATTCAGAAAGATTTGCCCTTGACTACATCTTCAGGTTCAAGGCCGCGAAGCGTAAACACAGTAATGAACACTCGGCACATTGACGATCATGAACTAGAAAAATATTCACAAATAGTATGTATGTACATATATAACTAGTCTGGCCATAAACACTGTTACATAAAAACTTTTCTTTTTATCAACTTTTTAATTATTTTGAATTTGGAACTCTTTCGATTTTGCTCCATTTCACATATTTTTTCGTGTTCATTATCAAATTATAATATGGAATGGGGTGTTAAAGAAAATAGGATTGCGGTAATCGCATTGCACAAAGTGGGTATGGAACCGTCGGTCATATTCCAGACACTTCAAAAGCTTGGTATCAGCCGTATGTTCGGATGTCGTACTATCAACAGATACAACACTTCGTCTGTCGAAGACCAAAAAAAATCGAAGCGGCCGCGTGCTCTTAGAACTACATACAAAGGTTGTTAATGCTGTTAAAGCCAGAATTCGTCCCATTAGGAAGCAAAAAATCTTATAGCGAGAAATGAAGATTCCCGCTAGGACTCTGTCACGTATTATAAAACAAAACCTGAACCTCGGACATGCCCTAAATCAATCTTTACAATTGAAGAGAGTGGATCGATCAAAAACGCTTTCTAACGCGATACGCAGGTGGAAGGCACAGAAATATCCTCTTGACCGATGAAAAATTTTTCACGATTGAAGAACACTACAATGAGCAAAATGATAAAGTGTACGCTCACAGTTCTAAAGAAGATACTCAAGTAGTCGGAAAGGTACAACGTGGTCATCATCCTGGGTCAGTGATGATTTGGTGAGGCGGGACTTATCAAGGAGTCACAAAATTACATTTTTTGGGAAAAAAGAGTGAAAACTTTAGCCAAAGTGTATCAAGATACAGTCCTGGACCATATTGTGAAACCTCTCAGCAATACACTTTTTAAAAATATACCATGGACTTTCCAATAGGACTCTGCATCTGGTCACAAGGCATGAATTACCCAAGCTTGGCTTGAAATCAACGTTCCGGACTTTATAAAAGCTGAAGACTGGTCCACATCTAGCCCAGACCTCAACCCTTTAGACTTCAAATTATAGTCAGTTTTAGAGGCCTGCTCTAAACCACACGGTAACATTGAGTATTAAAATAAAATCTTTGGAGAATGCAGAGGCGAAATTTCCCTTTGAAACAGTGCGTAAATCCCTAGATTCGTGGCCAAACAGATTAAAGGCCTGTATAAAAGCCAAAGGTGGACATTTAGAACAGATTTTTTTTTGCTGAGTCTTTAATAAATATTGTGTAGGTATAAATTTTAATAATATGACATTACTTCATTAATAAAAAATGCATTTTCATTTTAACAGAACTTATGGCTGGACTAGGTATATATTTTATAGTTTATTTCTATCTTATCTGTCTAAGATAGACACTTAACCCGGAGGTCGATGTTATTGTAGTAAATTACGTTATGAGACGCCATTTTTTATCTACGAGTATATAGATTATTGTATTTGCTAAAACACGAAAACAACATACAAAAACTTACGTAATAGATAAACATAAAACATTTCTAGAAACAAAACTGAATATACTTAAAAATATATCTTTTTATGATTGAATCTTTAATACCATAGGTACTGTAATTATAAGTATGGTTGTGCGGAAATATACAATATTTTATTTTTAGTTCTTTATAAAACGCCAAACATAATCAAACTAATTAAAACTAATTTTCATCCACTAAAATTCCAACAACAAGCAATTGTCAAATTAAGCGTATCAATGCGATATGTTTAATTGGATAATGTGATAATTATGATTTCAGTTGACCTCAAATTATTATGACTATTTTCAAATATTTATTCGTACAGTAGGATATTTTGTTCCCAAACTTAACCCTTTCAGATTCCTGATTAATAACAAAGTAAACATATTGCGTCGACCCCACCTAAAAACATATTATATAAGAACATTACAATGAACTTTATCGAATTAAAATAAGTTGAAAGTCTTGGAGTTATAGTATTTTTGAGGTTATTTCGCCATTAAATTTAATGTAATAATATATTCCTATGTACTTTCATTTTTGTAGATTGTGAATCAGTCGATGCTGTCCTTGTTCGGTTTATTATATGGAGGCGCTTTAGAAGAAATGGGTCACACCACACAAGGATCTGCCATTGTACTCAGTACGATGTTGTTTGTCACAAATTTGGCAGGTCCTATAGCCGGTGTAATAGTTAAATTAACATCCACAAGATTTGTAGCAGTAACGGGTGCCTGTTCCTGTACTTTAGGAATATTTTTTAGTAGTTTTTCAACGAACATCGTTCATTTGATTATGACCTATGGTATATTATTGGGTAAGGTTTCATTATTTTGGAAAATATATTCATTTTTCTAGACACTAAAGAGCCGTATAAAATTTATTATTGTTTCAGGCTTAGGGCTTGGCTTCATTCAAAATTCGTCATTCGTTGCTATAAATAGTTACTTCAAGATCAGGAAGAGCCGAGCGGTGGGCCTTGCAAATGTAGGCACAGGTGTGGGACAAACCTTAATGCCTCACTTAGTGAGGTATCTCTTGGTAAATTACGGTTTCCGAGACGCATGTCTGATTCTATCTTCATTGAGCTTAAACGGGGTAAGTTACATTTTTATTTAACTAAGATAATCTTTCATCTAGTTTTAGATTTCATTTAAAGAATTAATATCGCAACTTTTTAATTTTACTAGATTTGTGGAACATTGTTGATGCAACCAGTAGAATGGCATCTGAAAAAAGTAGAAGAAGAAGTCATTATAGAAGAAAATGTGCAATTATTAGAAAATAAACATAAGGATATTGTAATAAAGAAGGATTCTAAAATGATTAATGAAATAAATGGTCTGAATACTAATAGACGTGCAACTGAACCTGAGGTAGATAGAAAAGAAAAAGAAATCGAATGGAGTAACAAAAAATTTCAGAGTCATGATGAATTAAATAACATAAAAACGAGTGGCAGTGGTGTTAATGGTTTGTATTACATTTTTTCTATTAGCATTGGAAGAAAAACTATGAACTAAAATTAATTTAAAGAGACAATAACAAAAGAAAGAGATTTTTTTTGAATAGACAACAATTTATTTAAAAACATACTTTTAAACACGGGGTCGAAATGGTTCCGTAGTTAGAATACCGTAGTCACCAAACTAATTAAATAACAGGTTTGGGAAAAAGTCTTTTCGCATTATAGTATGTATGAACTTGTAATAAAATCTTTTTGACTATACTATTTGTATTTGGTTAGTTTTGGTATCATTAAAAGTATAAATTTTAAAGAAGATAGTTCCAAATTCAAATTGGGAAAATGAAAATGTGTGATTTTTATTTATTTTTCTTCGCTCTGGTTGCCTTATTACGGATAAAATGGATGCCATTTTTGAAAAAGTGGAGCAAGATCGGCATATCAGTAGTTACAACGTAGCTGAAAAACTGAGAATTGACCACAAAACAGTTTTGGTGCATTTGAAAAAAACTGGGTACACAAAAAAGCTCGATATTTGGGTACCTCACGAGCTCACTGAAAAAAACCTAATGAACCGTGTACTCATTTGTGATTCTTTATTACGACGTTATGAAACCGAACCATTTTTGAAGAAGCTGATAACTGGTGATGAAAAGTGGATCACGTACGACAACAACGTGCGAAAAAGGTCGTGGTCAAAGGCCGGTCAGGCTTCACAGACTGTTGCGAAACCCGGGTTAACTTGCAACAAGATGATGCTGTATGTGTGGTGGGATTAGAAAGGCATTATTCATTATGAGTTGTTACCGCCAGGCAGGACTATCGATTCTGAACTCTACTGCGAACAACTGATGAGATTAAAGCAAGAAGTTGAGAGAAAACGGCCGGAATTCATCAACAGAAAGGGTGTGGTTTTTCATCATCATAACGCTAGACCTCACACATATATAACCATTTAGCCAAAATTAAGAGAGCTTGGCTGGGAGGTGTTAATGCATCCGTCGTATAGTCCTGACTTTGCGCCTTCAGATTTCCACCTGTTTCAGCTTCTTCAGAATTCTGTAGGCAGTTTCAGGTTAACATTAAGAGAGGACTGCCAAAACCAATTGTCGCAGTATTTTTATCAGAAGCCCCAAAATTTCTATAGCAATGGGATCATGTCTGTACTTAAAAGATGGTAAAAAGCTATCGAACAAAATGGTACCTACATAATTTAGTTAAATGTAAATAACCTATATTAATATTTATCATTATAATTTATAATTAATATTATAAGTGTTGTGAATTTTCTTAAAAAATGCGAAAAAACTTTTCCACAACCTATTAATTATATATTTTTTTCTCTTAAATGAATTGATAAATTGTTTAATAACTCAAATACTACCCAACACGTTGTTGAATCTGCTTAAGGGCTATGGTTTATGAAAAATCAAAATTTCCTATATGTGACGATCTGTGCTTGTATGTACGCATGGTAATATCTTTATTTTTTCATGGCTTTGATTAATTTTTGTACAGCGGTTAACTTAATTATACTTTCCGATTATTATTAGTATTCCAGAAAAATGGTTATCACAGACTGTTTTTTTATCACTTGGTTATGAAATCATAAAAATGTGAGAGCTGATATTAAAATTTTCAAGTCACGTTGTTACAAATGAAATACTGAAAACCAGGACAGACTGACATTGCAATACATCCGATTTTGATGATAAATTTTAAACAGAAAGGCTACATTCTAGAATCTTATTTTCTAGGTATCGCTACCCACGCTGTTGTAGCGCCACAAAGGAAAGGCTTATTAAGTAAAATATATGATTTATTCGACATATCATTGCTGTTGAATCCAAGATTCTTGAACATCATATTTGGTACAGCTCTCTCGGTAACATCTATACAAAACTTCAGTATGGTGTTTCCTACATTCTTGCAAGTAAGTTGTTTTGGTGTTTGCTGAATTTAGAGTTGCTGATTTTATTGCTGATTTTAGAGTCGTCGTGGCCTAACGGATAAGACGTCTGGTCCATTCGTTCTGAGCGATGCACCGGTGTTCGAATCTCAGGCGGGTGGGTACCAACTTTTCTAATGAAATACGTACTCAACAAATGTTCACGATTGACTTCCACGATGACATCGTGTAATAAAAATCAAACCCGCATAATTATAATTTGCGTAATTACTGGTGGTAGAACCTCTTCTGAGTCCGCACCGGTGGGTACCACCACCCTTCCTATTTCTGCCGTGAAGCAGTAATGCATTTCGGTTTGAAGGGTGGGGCAGCCTTTGTAACTATACTTGAGACGTTAGAACTTATATCTCAAGGTGGGTGGCGCATTTACGTTGTAGATTTCTATGGGTTCCAGTAACCACTTAACACCAGGTGGGCTGTGAGCTCGTCTACACATCGAAGCAATAAAAAAAATTTGCTTTAAATACAGAACAGAAACAAAACAGAATAATTAAAACTTTATTTATGTTTTCATTCAACTAAAAGCAGTATCTATTAATTTGCTGAGAAATGAATGAACTTACTGGACAGTTAGTTATATACTCCTACTACAGAATAGAGCGACATTGTTTAGATTTCCATTGCATGTTAATTCACGAATGTACTTCGATTGACTGTTTGAAAAATTAGTCTTTTTTTTGTAATTATGTAATTTTTATTTAGTTTCTCCTGCTATTTATAGTTTACTTTTGAATAAACAAAGAGTCCTTTTCATCATTTACCTTGAATGTTTTTGGAATGTGTCGTTAATGAATACATTTTTACTGGTGTGGATGAGTTGACAAATTCTCGATTCGTATAGTGCTAGGCGGCTACTGAAGCTCATATGAATCTCAATATTAATATTATTACATAGAGACATGAGCTCGTAGTGTTTATTCCATTAGAAATATAGGTTCACAAAATGTTCAACAATTTTAATCTATAATTCGATCCTGTATCATGTAAACGATTATACAATAACATTAGTAAGTGCTGCATATTCTTATAGCTTAAGTATTGTTCTAGATATCATTAGCAAGTAATATTATCAAGCAAATACGGTGCTACTTGTAAAATTAAATGGTACTTTTAGTAAAACAAGAATCGAAATATTTTTTGAGACATAGAGATACGATTTTTGGGAAAAAGTGAAAAACCCAAAAATTTAGATTACAGCAAGTGCAATTAATAGGGCATTATTGTTATAATAAGATATTTTGGAGACCAAGTTTACCAGAGAACATATGTTAAATGGATGTAAAGAAAAACCTTTTTTATGTAATTTCTATTTATATTTTTCATATAATTATATAATTATTATAATTTAGTTTTACATAATTCAATAATACTGAGTAAAATAATAATTTAAAAAGGAAAATAAAGGCTTTAAATGTTGTTTTCTAAATATTTTACAGAAAACGCAATTAAGTCTTTTATGATTGTTCAATTCAGCTTTAAAACAAAATCCTATAAATTGTTTTCTAAACTATAAAATTGTCGAAGCTATTCATTACATCTATATAAATTTAATACAGGTTTATCATATTTATAAGTCCGCTATCTCTAGTAGCAGCCACTTCAGATATCATATCCGTTTGCTTTGGATAAGTCAAGAATCAATTTGTCGTAGATCAAAATGTAATATTATTATTAACTAAATGTCATTCTTCATGCCAATAGCACTGGCAACGCCTGATAACACCAAATGAAAAACTGTATTTTCAGTACCATAATATTTGAGGGGTGACGTTTCAAATTATATCCAATGCCAAATACATACGCAAAATTGATGACGTTAAATTAAATTTAAAAATTTAACTAAGCCTCTCAACGTTATAATTTTTTTTAGGAGATTTTATGACCTGGTAACTGAGACCTTTAAGTCATGTCTTATTTTAATTTATATTATTCATATTTTTATGACAAATGATATTATGGAGTGAAATGAAATGAAGATGATTAATTTGAAACACTAATCAACTGGGATGAAATTAAATGAAATGAATTGAGATGATATGGGATGAAATATAATATCAGTAAAATGGTGGTCATTTACTAAGATATTTTCAGTGGACTTTTTGGAGGATCCCGAGAAGCTACGTCCAGCGGCTTTGTTTCATTTTCCCACATTTATTTTGTGCACTTTCACAGATATTAAACAGTTAATAAACCACCATTATTACACATTTAAACCCGAAGAAACACTAAATAGACAAAATAAAACAAATCACACAACTTCACTCCTCGCGTTCCCGCCAAAAAGTCCTCAATGTTATAAATGGCATGGTGCAGTACAGACCTAAAAGGTTCATTAGTACTTACAAACAAATTGATTTGTGAAACATTAGATTAATAAAATTGCTCATACAGAGTTTTATGCAGGCACATTTAACGTCATTGAACGCTAAGTTTATAGTATGTAATAGACTTAGAGCACTTTAACTAAAGTTAGTTGCATTGATGCGATTGTGTATACTTTTTGATACGGTATAATTTTTTTTTTATTACTTGGATGAATGGACGAGCTCACAGCCCACCTGGTGTTAAATGGTTACTGGAGCCCATAGACATCTACAACGTAAATGCGCCACCCACCTTGAGATATAAGTTCTAAGATCTCAGTATAGTTACAACGGCTGCCCTACCCTTCAAACCGAAACGCATTACTGCTTCACGCCAGAAATAGGCAGGGTGGTGGTACCTACCCGTGCGGACTCACAAGAGGCCCTACCACCAGTAATAATAGTACCTTTGAAGGATAAAGGTGGAGTGGTAGGTACTATTCTAGACCAATAGCACACAACCACATATGATTCTTTATTACACTGGATGCTATGTAATAAATTAACGAAAGATTAATAGGCAGGATTCACAAATAGGTGTGTTTTTATCTTTTTGAGCCCGGCTCTACCTAATTTATAATACAACACTCAAATATGTTGTATACGTTAAAATCTCATTACATTAGTAACACGTAATTTTCTCTAAATTCTACTTCAACTCTTACAGAAAGTTGCTGACATGGATATGCAGCAGACTGCGACGTGCATGTCCGCAGTTGCAGCTGCTGATATTGTCGGTAGGCTTGTTCTGCCGACTTTCCAGGATAAATACAAGATTAAAGCGAGATGGATGCTCATCATGACGTCGGTCTGGCTCATTGTTGTACGACAAAGTATGTTTTTTTTTTATTTTTTTTTTCCTACCTAAGGGCGCGTACACATAGAACGTTCAATTTTACAGGATCCTTTTTAACGGATCCGTCGCTACTGGAGGTAATATTCACACAGCATTTACAGAACCGATTTTATCAGATCCGGCGATACTGTATTTTCGTTCTTCGGTGTATCGTCTACTGTCTACGATGATGGACGTTGTCGTGTTTTATTGGTAATATCGCCGTCTGCGTCGAAGGAAGACCCGGTGTTATTGGATACATCAATTTTTAAGGCAAACATTTTGTCGAGGTGCTGTGTTGAAGAATGAAACCGGCAAATGGCAGCCGTGTGCAGCACACCGCATCCCGCGCACCCTCATGCCAAGCCTCGCACGGCTTAGATCCGATAAAACGGATCAGTATTTCCGTTGTGTGTGGGATTTTTTACTGGATCTGGAATACTGTCATGTGTGTGAACTGGCTCATACAACGCTAATAGCATATACGTTTGAACGGACCTGTAAATCAGAAGTTCTATATGTACGCGCCCTAAGCTAGTAGCCTTGAGGGGCTTTGCCAGCGTAACCGATCGAGTAGGTGAGCTCTCGGGGCCTTAACTGGGAACTAACACTAGCCCTAGCCAGAGCAGTGCGCCCCAGAATCTACCATCGGATCGGAAACGCGACCCATGGAGAAGATCCGGAGAGAAACTCAGTGAGCTGTGTCTATGAGTTAGTTTACTCGCCGAACCCTTCGTCGCCAGCGACGGGTTCGATGAAAGCAGTGACCGGTGCTTGAGGTACCTAAAAGCACTGTTAGTGGTTCGGGAAGATTCGAAATGAAGTGTTTAGGGCAATTTTGGTAGGCAGCGGCATGGTTCTGCCCCTGGCATTGCTGAAGTCCATGGGCGGCGGTAACCAATCACTATCAGGTGGGCTGTATGCTCGTCGACAAGGGCAATAAAAAAAAAAAAATCGACTGTTTACAAATCGGTCCGCAGGATCGGGTATGTAATTGCCGGTGGTGTATGTTTATATGAATTATAATATTAAAATGCTAATAGGCTAACCGGTCAATTATTAGAAAACTCGAGGATCTGAGCCTTCTCGAGCTATTGTATCTTTATCCAAAATATTATAAACTTAAAGTGCAATTGTTAATCCTCCTTGAGTTACCGGTTTAACTGCCTCATCATCCCTCTGAAGTATTCGTATTATTTCTTTGTTTTCCTATCTAACTCCAAATTACCGAATGTCGTATACTAGAATAACCAATCAATGTTTCACACAATAATTGATGCAAATTAATCATGATAATTTTGGCTTGAAAATAGTGTAATAAGTCACTACTATACACTCATTGTAAAAATTAATATTTAAAAAAGATCTAATATTTAAAAAAAAATCTAATATTTAAAAAAAAAAGACATGCCCGCTGAGTTTCTTGCCAATTCTTCTCAGGACTGAGGCTAGTTCTTGTGAATTGGCGGTAGTTCTTTTGACTACAGTATGTACTTTCATTTATGTTGAATAAATTTTTTTTGATTTGATTTGATTTGACTATTTTCAAAATATTCATAAACATCTGAAAACAAAGTGACATGACTAGCGTAACGTCATGTAAATAATGTCGCTTCAAATTTAATAATACACTAAATTTAGAATACGAACATATTTAATAGTCAGTTTCTCAAATAAGCCAACCTTTTTAATTTCAGTATTAGCATACCAAACTGAGCTGAACATCCTCATTGTAATGTCTTGCTTATACGGATTTGGAAGGAGCATGATCATCGTTGCCAGAAACATTGCGATATCGGAGAACTGTAGAATAGAACAAGTACCTGCCGCTGTAGGACTTGGAATGTTAACTATGGGTATCATAGTTCCTCCTGCGGGCTATTTCCTCGGGTGGATCCGAGATTATACTGACAGTTACATTATATGTATTACGGCACAAAACGTTTTCCTTGTGCTTTTATTGATAACGTGGATCCCGGATATGTTGTTATTAAATATACAGGAAAAAAGAGAGAGAAGGAAGACAGCTCATGTAATCCAGACTTCGTAGCAGACTTTCAAGATAGGTATAAAAAAATTGTAGGCGTAGTAATCAGACGATATTCTTTGCGTACTGCAAAATGCAGCAATGAAATTTTATCTTACAATAGAAGTGGTGAGGAATATTACTTCAATTTCAAGAAGGCAAGAAGCAAATATTGTTATTTTCTGAAAAATCAACATTAATATTATTGTTATTTGTCATAGATTATATTATTATATTATTTATTTATAAGGTGTAATATTTTTGTACTGTAATATACAAGCAAATGGCTGTGACAGTTGAAGATGGTAGTTTTAATGTATGATTGTGTAATTAATGCTCCTTGTAAATACCAAAATATGATTAAATAGTTTATAAGAGAAATATTTCGATTTAAGTCAAAAATGAAAGACCATACGTTTTACTAAACTAATAATCAAATAATGAAGTTAATGCATTTTCCTTTCTAGTCTTACTCACTTTTACAATGTAAAATAATTTAAGTCATTTAATATAGCTCATGTTATATCACAGTTGTTTTAATTTCAGTAAGTACATTACAACAACTAGGCGTTTGGTCAATCATAGAACAAAATAAATAAAACAACATAGTACGTGTTGTGGTTTTGTTTTATCAAAAATTAATTTTTTTGCTTACTGGGAAAACTATTCACTAACTTTTTTTCTTCTGAAGCTGTCGTATAAAAAGGCTTCATTTACTGGTATTGATCAATTTCAGTATGCCTGGGCTAAAATTTCACAGACAGGTACTATTAAGAAAATACGAATCTTAAATGTTTTCACGAATGATTCGGGCGGTAAAGTAATGAGATCGAGTAATAAAAATCACAACTTAAATTTTTCTAAATTTAAGTAATAACTACACTGAGGTTGGGGCGTCTTGTAAGCCGAAAACGGGTAGGTAAAACCGTTCCCGTTTAAGTCGTCGTGGCCTAACGGGTAAGACGTCCGGCGCATTCGTGTTGAGCGATGCACCGGTGTTCGAATCTCAGGCGGGTACCAATTTTTCTAATGAAATACGTACTCAACAAACGTTCACGATTGACTTCCACGGTGAAGGAATAGCATCGTGTAATAAAAATGAAACCCGCAATATTATAATTTGCGTAATTACTGATGGTAGGACCTCTTGTGAGTCCGCGCGGGCGGGTACCACCACCCTGCCTATTTCTGCCGTGAAGCAGTAATGCGTTTCGGTTTGAAGGGCGGGGCAGCCGTTGTAACTATACTTGAGACCCTTAGAACTTAGATCTCAAGGTGGGTGGCGCATTTACGTTGTGGATGTCTATGGGCTCCAGTAACCACTTAACACCAGGTGGGCTGTGAGCTCGTTCACCCATCTAAGCAATAAAAAATAAAAAACCTACTTCATGTTCATATTTCATTTCTTTCATTCATATCTGCTATGAATCTGATAAGCGTTTCGATTTGAAATATATGACAACCGATTTACAATACAATTGCAACTTCAACTATGTCTCAACGCGCAGTATTCACACTGTGTTGTTGTCTTTGGACTTCAGTAGAACAAACACCTGATGGGCCGTGAGCTATTCCCATGTAGTCCAATAAGAGAAACAAAAATAAGTCGATCGAAATTAAATTTGGAATTCACATAGCGTTCGGTATCGGAGATGGGATACTTTTATTGGTAGCTAATTAAAGAGTTCGCGAAAACAAAAACAGCCATTTATGTGGAGAAAGCTACTAGGAGGACCGATTCGATTATCTAAAATCTTTTTGTTTTTCAAAGTATTTTCCAAGCGAAATCATCTTATTATGAATTATGTTCAATTATAAATTGAAATATACCGTGTATTTTTAGAACTATACCAACAATGAAGACATGGAGGATATGGTGGTAGGTTGATTACGGTAAAACGGTAAAACTGAAAAAAAAAACAACATCCGCAAAATTATTGTATGTAGATTAAATAATAATAATAATAATTTCAAAACCTATAACATTGGAAGTAAAAAAAGCTAATTCAAAACACGATAGATTTTTTTTTATTGCTTAGATTGGTGGCCGAGCTCACAGCCCACCTGGTGTTAAGTGGTTACTGGAGCCCATAGACATCTACAACGTAAATGCGCCACCCACCTTGAGATATAAGTTCTAAAGTCTCAAGTATAGTTACAACGGCTGCCCTACCCTTCAAGCCGAAACGCATTACTGCTTCACGGCAGAAATAGGCAGGGTGGTGGTACCTAGCCGCGCGGACTCACAAGAGGTCCTACCACCAGTAACCATTCAAAATTAGAAATCACACATTGATAGAGCTACCGTATTTCATTGTGATTTCTCGCTATCTTCCTCGTTCTGTGGTACGTTGATACAGTGTAGGCTATTTCACCTGCTTCGATATTTGCAAAAAATCTTCGATAAGCTCCCACACTCGTGCATGATCGAATACATACCATAAGTACTTGAATGCGTGAATATTCTAATACGAGCTTAAAAAGCAACAACCGAATTCTTCCTTTAACCTAATTTTTATGTTTCACTTGAACATTTTCCGTCAGAATTCACATCGCATCTGATTTAGCTATTAGTTCAAAGCTAACTCACTGCAAACGATCTACTCTTTGATAAGTGAAACATAAATAATGGAAATTGCTTACTGCTTAATTAATATTTTAACCTACAGACTTACTGAGCATATAAATTCAACATTCGTCTTAGATATAAAAAGTTCGTATTAAGACATTTTATTGTATCAAACGTAATGGAAAATGCGCTTTACGAGAATGTCAACAGTTATTCGCACGTCAATACTCATCGCACGGCTTTTAAACCAGAAAATAGATGGAACAGTGAAGTTATAAAAAGAAATACGACATTCCTCGTCTCTGTTTATTACCGTACATTAGTTATACAGCATCCGTAGTGTCGTCTCGGCATGAAATGGGAACTAATGAGATTTTGATGTTTTTTTGACTGTACTTTTATTTTCCTTGTAGAGATGTTTGTGACCGACTGTACCTACATTCAGTTACAATACCATTTACAGGTTGTTCGGCTAATGTGTGCCAGTACTCGCTGACCCAGATAGTTTGTTAGTTCAGAACAGTGCAAGACTGTGTACTGTGCTTAAATGAAAACATAGTTAAGATCTTTTGAGAGTTCAGAGCGGACGCTGCAAACCTCATAAAAGTTGAGCATTTTTAAGCTATCTCAAGAGTTTCTGGCAACGTTAAATTCTCCTGAAAATGAAGTTTTAACATACTATTTATTTTAAATCCCGCAAACTCGACATACTTTTGTAGTTATGGTCCATCTTTTGTGGTATTTTGAGTATTTATAAAGTAATTAAAAGTCAAAATTGAAAGAAAAAGTATTTTCAGTCAAACTATATATAATGAGAAATATTTAAAAATATTCCACGAAATTAATACCTACAATATTTCTGTGATTATTATGTAACAAAAACAAAAAAAGCATTTTCTTTTAAGATAATAATTTTATCTAGCTTTCAATTAAATCTTGGTTTTCTCCCCATTCACGTATTCTAACCACGAACATTGCATAAAGGGCTCGAGAAATGACACATACAATTAATTTGTTTGCTAGACTTGCATACGACTTTGTATTCCACTGCACACAAGTCTGGGCGGCTTCAAATCCGTTTCACGTATGCAGGCTTCAAATTATCCTTTATGTGAGATGCTTATTATGGTAGACGCTTGCGAGTTCACTCATGAATAAATGGTCCATATACTCAAGGACGTATATTAATACGGAATCGTCCGCTATCCAACCGCAGTACATAATCATCACTCAACTCATTTTCACATACCTATATTACTTACTTAATTAACCTTTATCCTCAATTCCTTCCACACAGAATGCCAACAGTGTATATTGAAAAACTACACGTGTTGGTACTAATCATCACGATATATATTTGTATAAGTATGGGTCGGTTTTAAAGAAGTGGCGGAAACACTTAGAAATATAGCCACTTAACAGAGGATGGTCCGTACGTCGTCTGCCGTGTTACAGCAATAACAAAGAATACACATTATAATTACAGGGTAGTAAGTACTGTTAAATAACTCGAGTACATTACAAAAGTCCCCATACTACCTGGAGCCACTGCGGTCATCCACAGTGCGTTTCCAGAGGTATTTTTTGCCACGCACCATCCGGCTATGGAATGAGCTCTCCTCCACGGTGTTTCCCGAGAGCTACGACATGTCCTTCTTCAAACGAGGCTTGTGGAGAGTATTAAACGGTAGGCAGCGGCTTGGCTCTGCCCCAGGAATTGCTGAAGTCCATGGGCGACGGTAACCACTCACCATCAGGTGGGCCGTATGCTCGTCTGCCTACAAGGACAATAAACAAAAAAGTCTTCATAATAGAACAAAAAATGGAAAAAATGTATGAAGAATGTCATTCTCGCAGAATAATCTGTTTGTTTTGCCCCCAAAAATATACGCCGAGTGCCATCAAAACTTACGGTCTACAATCCACATTGCGAATAAAAATATTTTGCGAGCTGTTTAAATTAAGCAAATATTCATAATAGTATCCCAGTATTTGTGGAGTCGCTTATTTAATTATAGCTTAAAAACTTCTTATTTGAGCAACTTTAATGCCTAGTCTGAAAATGGTTAATCTGGGATAAAATATCAAAGTGTTTTTTCTTTTTCTTTCAAGCATGTCATTTACTATTTAACAATCAATAGGTTTAATTTAAAGTCAGTTATTATCCTCAAAACATCAACTGATTTTAAATTATTTCGTATTACATTGAGAGATCTCACGTTGACATCTTAATGTTCCTATAATTTTTTTTATATCTCTCGTAAAAAATCAAATACATTTGATTGAACAAAAAACAGTGCACGTTGAGGACAGTGATGAGAGTTACAGATGCCTTTATTTCATACAACTCGAAGTCGCTATCTAAATTACGTTTAAAATCATAATTACTACGTCTTTTGTGTTTTTGTTTTGAGTTGTTTCGGCACTTTCATCTTAACTGAAAATAGAAATCAGTTGATGCGTTACAGATATATATATATATATATATATATATATATTTTATTACTTAGATGGGTGAACGAGCTCACAGCCCACCTGGTGTTAAGTGGTTACTGGAGCCTATAGACATCTACAACGTAAATGCGCCACCCACCTTGAGATATAAGTTCTTTTTTTTTTTTTATGATTGAAAGTTTACTGGTGGCCCGAAGGCCTTTCCAGTTTCACCAGGACAGGTGGGCGAGCAAAGGCTCAGCCAAGAGGGGTGGGATTTGCTAACAACTGCCCGAGCGCCTCCGAAGGAGACCTAACAACTCAAGAGCAATTGTTTCGCGAAT